TGATCAGTACAATTTGTTCAAGGTATACTTCAACAACTTAAGTATAGAAAGTTTTTCGAACAACACAATTCTCTTTGGCCAAATTGAAATATGGCCATTCATTAGTGCATATGACTGTGGTGCACTTTAATTAAAATGTTGACGAGGTAAACAAAGACCCTGCTTGGTCTTGTTTAAAATTAGTTTTTTAATAGATTTTGATAATAACGGATGTAATATGTGATTTAAAAGTTGATAAATGTGAATTCGATAAAATACGTGGCCAAAAGTCAATGGTTGATTTTGATAAATTTTTATCAACCTCTTTAACAAAACTAAACGGGGGTTTAAGTGTCAATTATATGAAAAACTCTCGTCAACTTTGATAAGGATATTTAGATGGTTTGAAATTTGTGCCGAGGGGAAAACATGAAGTGTTTAAAGAAATTTCAATTGATACCTCGATTTCTATATTTAAAATGTCCTATTGATTGATGACGCTTAAGATTGGTTTTTAGCATTAGTTATGCTATATAGCATTATTATTGACTTAATAGAAGTACGTATTTTTTAAATATCTAGAAGTAGTGGATAAAATTCATTTTCACACTCTACGTCTGGCATGTAATATCAATATGTCATGATCCAGTTAGTTTTAAATCAACTTTAACTGAAACAATGAGGTGCACGTATTACTCCTCTTTTATATTACAGGACGATGTGGATTTGATGAAGAAATTGGGTTTAGATTCTTATAGATTTTCAATTGCGTGGACTAGAATCTTGCCAGGTACCTCAAGGAGCTAATATATTTTATTATTGCACGGTGAATGATCTAGAATTTGTGTATCATTTAGTTTGTAATATCCAATGAAGTTCTAGCTAATGTTTTTATATTATATATATATATTTTTTTTTTGTGTTTTATATTTGTATTTTTAGGAGGTAGAATATGTAAAGGCATATGCAAAGAAGGAATTAAGTACTATAATGATCTTATAGACATACTCTTGACAGCAGGTAAGAGTCAATTATACATTTAATTATCGTGTTTATTGTTTCTTTAGCCATTGGTGTTCATTTTTTTCACAAGAGTTAATTTATTTATAAAGCTTTTATTTTCATGATCTCCTTATGCACAAAGATTAATTAATTAATTAATTTTTTTCCATCAAAAGTTTTGACATATGTACAAATTTTATAAAAAGATGGTAGGGAGACTTGAATTTATAACTTTTGTATACTACAATATAAGATTGAAGCACCT